TTAGTTCAAATATGATTAGTTATCCTTATTTGAATCAATCATCAAACAAAGCCTTTTTCAATAGCGTGCAAAGAATTAGAAAGAATTACATCTAATATGTTTTAATGCGTATAAATTGTAACAGATCAGCATTATATATTATACTGTATAATCATACACAACTCGGAGTTTCTTTTTGATGTTTTGTAAAATAGGTAATATGAATAGCTGGGGCAAAGATAGCATAAATTAAAACAAAATTGTTTTAATTACTTCCTTATTTGAACAAGTTCATTTACGAAAAAATGGATTAAAAGAACCATGTGAAAATCTAGCTTTCAGAATTGACTAAAAATTACAATTACAGAATGTCAAGTAAAAACAGTTTAAAGCTCTTAGTATTATTGCTAAGAATTGTATATACAACAACCATTACTATTTTTTCTTGTTTTATTTTTCTTTTGCTGAAAATTTCTTATACAATTTTTCTGACTTTAATTTTTTTGACTTCTTTGATTATTGCTACTTTGATTTTTGCATCTTCGATACTAATATTGAATATGATTCTGATTCCAACTTTCTTGTTGTTCCCTGGTCTCGTTGTCGGGTTTTCCATATTATTTACAAAACTATCTACAAATCTGAACCTATTTGCTCAAATATAGGTCGAATACCCACAAAAGAGGATTCTACTACGAAAAGTAGATATTCATCGGAACATCTGAAAAATTATATTAAAAAAATTTTGAAACAAATCAGATCAAATGAATCTCTTACCATTAAAACTTCAAATAAATCCCAAATCCCAACCTTCGCCACTGAATTATTTTCTAATATATTCTTCTTTACCCCTACATATAAATGAAGAAACTATACTATATATGATAATTCAGATTTTTTATTTTAATCTCATTTCTACAAAAATAATAAATGCCAAATTGAACAAAAATCTTTTCGATTCAAAATATAATAAAATTAGAAACTATAGAAACTTTTCGTTATTTTACTATCGATCAATTAATAATAACTTATCTCAATCTCTCTTGCCCACTCCAAATGAGAATTATATGATAATTTTGCATTATGGTGATTACTCTGCTTTGAAAATGAAAATTTTATTATATCGTTATATGCATTACATGCTCAAGAATCGAAAGAAGCATGACAAAAAATGCAAAACCATAACCGATATTGATTACCATTCACAAAAAGACCTAAACAATAATAAAAATGATGATGAAAAATTTCAATTTAGTCAATTTTATAAAATAAGAAATAGAAGAACGTTATCTTTCTATCGATTTAATAGATCGATCAATGATTTTGCTGAATCAAACAAAACTCTTCCTTATGAATTTAAATCCTTACAAGCTACAAAAACGAATAACACTGATACAATTGAAAATACCAATTTACAACTTAAAGAACTTAGAGTTGAAGTTTTCGTAAAAGAATCAGAAGATTTGGTAAAAGAATTTCATCATTTAGAAGAAGATTTAGAAAAAGATTTAGAATCCCTACGTAGAGATCATCACCAATTAAAAGAAGAATAGACCCTTCTAATCAAAAACATATATGTAGAAAATTATAAAATTCAAAAAGAATTTGATGATTTAAAAAATTTTTATTTATTTGGAGAGCACATTATTATTAATGGAGGTGTCCATTGTATTAATGGTGGTGTTTGTGCTTAAATTATTAAGATGTTTTACACTTTTTATTTAGTCCCCAAAAGTAATGACTAATCTGCTACAAACATCTTTATTTCATTAAATTTAAATGCTGGATTACTTGTCAATTTCTTTGTGAAATCAGATTGGTTGAGTAATTGGCTTAATACATATAGCTTGAGAGCATGCACTTATCTTCTACTATTTGTTTTTTTGTCAAAGAGCAACTGAATTTTTGTAATTTTATAGAAAGTTCAATCAAGCTATTATTTATTCCAGTATAGAAGTATATAGCTAAAACACAATTGATAAGTACTTTTTTAAAGTCTTTACTTATTTAATTTATTATAAGTAGTAATGTTCTTTTCTTTAGGAATGTTGTTCGCATGGGATTTTGCTATAAATGACTTGCAAAATGGGTCATTTTTATAGCAAAAGCCCAAATATTTACGGCTCAAGACTGGTTTAGATGATGAAGCTCCCATCAATTTTCCAGTTTATCACAGAAATTTTTTGGTTCGAGATGACAGGAGCTAATGGCCTTTGATAAGTTCATGAGATTTTTTGTTAGTCAGAATTGCTGGTGAAATTTTCAAAAGCAATTTTCTCTTGAGTTATTCAACATTGAGCACTAGTCTTAAGCCATTATTTAGTCAATTTTTATTTATTTATTAATCATTCATCTTTGTAAATATTAATAAAATTACAATATCTATTTTATTGTATTCAATGAATAGCGTAGTTCTTTTTTTTAGTACTGTAGTTTGTTTAAAAGTTTTTGGGAAGACATTTATTAAATATTAATAAATCGAAAAATAAATATGTAATATTACTTAAGAATTAAAAAAACCTTTAAACAATAATTTGTAGTACATACTGTATCATCAAAAAAAGGCTACTCTATTTTTTCTGATTTCAAAATCTCAGACATTTTGTACCTACATTTTTTCGGCATAGTTAATTATGAATCACTCTATTGGTTTTATCTTACTTTCGAAGGCAAATATGAGAATTCGATGAGTCAATACTATTCTGTCTCCAACCTGTTTTGGAATTAAAATTTATTAATAAAATACTTGTGTCACTTTATCAACTAACAAAGAACATGGCCGGAATAGTTAACAGTTACATAGTCAATGCTAAAGTATATCCTATTCACCAACTTCCCAGACGCACGCTTTCTAGTATTTTAATACAGAAAGGTCCTCTCTAACACAGACAGGACCAGTACTACGGGAACATTGATAACTAATAGAGGAGAACGTTCAACCAAATGGTTGGCCCTATGTGCTTTCAATTCTCTATCAGATTTCATTGCACCGATGTGGTAGCGTAACTTTGGATTGGATATACTAATAACTCGACATGTAATTAATGAGAAAACTCACCCTGATAGCAACGCTTCAAAAATGACAAAAACACAAAATCCTAATTATTGTTATTTGTTTTCTTTCTCTGAATTCCTGAGCTTTTTGTAGCAACTTAATGTGAAAAACTTTATCCAGATTCATAATATCTGACTCATCAGCCGATTTTTTAAAAGGTTCATCTATATTCATTTTATTTCTAAGAGCTGCCAACAAAGAGGAAAAATTTTGACACTTTTTTCGCATCTAAGATGTGACAAATGCGATTAAAAAAAAATATTTACAAAATCTAACACAGACAGATTCAGCGTTGGAATAATAAAGATATTTCAGTTATTTAGTTACAGTACTAAAACATGTGACTGTTCTTGTACTTCGGTGCCGAATTTATTATGTAAAAAGTAAATTCAGATATATAAACTATATATAATTCACACTTAATTGTGTTGCAGGCAATATATTAAGAAATCATAAAACAAGGCGCGTTCTAATACATGTACTAAGCCTCAAATATGCTGTGCGATAATGCACATTTGCGAAAATTTAGGTCCTTGTTGTGAAAAATTTTTTGAGTCAATAAAAGATTCTTAATAAATGTTAATTATTAAAACTGGTTTATGTACTATTACTATTATTACTGAAAAAATTATCATTATATTAATAAAAAGTTTTTTTTTGTTATGGTATAAAGTCACATAATGATAGCAATTGCAACAATTAACCTAAAACTAATATTTTTGTTCTTATGTTTCACAAAGAGGTTGGTGCTTGTTTGTTATAAACCATTTTTTTTTTATTCACTATAATTCACTTAATTGTATTGTATCACAAAAAACAAAGCGCATTAAATACGCGTACGAACTAAGCCTCAAAGTACTGCGCGATAATGCATATTTGCGAAAAATTAGGTCCTGAGAATTTTTTTTTTGAAAAACAAGTTTTTTTATAATTATTATTATGCCGTTTAATACATGTACTAAGTCTCGAAAATGCTACGCGATAATGCATTCAGTTTTGAGAAAATGTAAAAACTTCTCTTTTTTGATTCATATAAACAAGTTTTCGTACAATCATTAAAGAAGATTGTTCACGAGAATAAGTTATGCAGAAATTGAATTTCAAAGAATTTATTTAAAATCAATAAAAGTATCTTTCAGGCTATGCAGAAATCGCATTCTTTGATAATAAATTGCAAAATGGATTTCTTCAATATCATTTGCTGTCTTACAATATTTTTATATTTTTGTTATTTATATTCAATTATCAATTTTTTTATCTATATATCCAAAACTGAATCTTCTCAAGAAGTATTCGATTTGGTAAAGCAAATTGGCACAAATGAAGAAAGCAGACTACTTAAAACACTTGAATCAAAAAATGAAACAAAAATTGAACACCTTGAATCAAAGTCAAGCTTAAAGAATCAAAATTCCAAGAATATAACAAAGAGAAAAACTTTGGCAAATATAGAGATTAAAAGACTTTTAGCAAAATTGAAGGCATTTGATTCATCATTAGCCAAAAACTGTCTTCAAATTATTAACTATTGTAATTGTGATATTGAAACTATTGAACTGAATATTGAATATCTTAATAACTATATTCATAACCAATTAATTCTGATATTTCAAAGGGATTCTAATAAACAATTCTCTTCAACAAATATGCTAAACTGAAAGAAATGAATATAAGACTCATGAAAAAATATAATTCGTAAAGAAGCAAAAGAGAAAAAAAATATATATATTTTTTTTGGCAGAATAGAAAGTCTTGAATCTCGATAATTTAATACTTGTATTCAAATTTTGATATTTATAATTTTATGCACTTCTGGCTAAGTTTTTAGGGACAAAGAATTAACTGTACACGTAATCATGAAATGTAATGCAGCGCCACTTCATGTGACCAATTATAATTGCGCAATTTTAAAATTGGTCACATGAAGTGGTGCTACATCACATTTCACGATTAAGTGATACGGCTAATTCTTCATTCCTGAAAACTTTACCAAAAGTGTTACCTATTCTATATTTAATCTTTTTTATCTTTTATTTTTTTTAAAAAATTACTTTATTTTTGTATAAATTTTTTAGTTTGTAAATTTTTAATATGATTAAAATGACTAGTCATCTTATTTGCTATGAGATCTTTATTAATCTTGAAGATGTTGATACTCAATTCAAATATTTTTATAAAAGAGGTGTTATTGGAATTTTTTCTAATTTTCATTGAGCTACTGGGTTGGCGAGAATGTAATCTTATATAAATAAATAAATACTGATTTCAATATTAAATTTTATTGGGATTGGGATCCTGTGGCCAGGGTTGGCAATGGAGCTAATGGAGTTAAATGGTTATGCGAATGGAGCTCAAAAAATTAGTATCCATTGACTCCATTCAGGGCTCTATTGGCTCCATTCGCAGCTCCATTGGGCTCCATTAAGCTCCATTGCCAACCCTACCCGTGGCCTAGTAGTCTAGGCACCCAATCCTTCACGAGCAGGTTTCAGGTTCAAGTCCTAGTAGGTACGTTTACCTACGAATATTTGGAAGTATCTGCCGTGGAAAGTCCAAGTGAATACAAGTCTGGATTAGGAATTTCCGGAAAGAGGTCCATTGTGGAGTAGTTGGCACTATGTGTAACAGTG